TTGCTGCCTTATTATCCCTATTTTACAGAAACTGAAGTAGACTTAAGGTTAAGAGACTTGCCCAGGGACACACTGCTAGTAAGTACTGAAGCAGGACTCAAACTCACATCTTCCAGAGAGCAGCTTTAGCACTCAATCCACTGCCCCCTCTAGCTGCCTCGCATTTTCGTGAGCATGGGAGGATATCACAAAAACAGTGTTTTAGGACAGCTGGACTAGCTATCCTAGGTTCATAAAAGAGACTGAAGAAAGAAAAGATTAAAATCAGCTAGAACACCATGGAAATATATTGTAGTTAATTGTGAATATGTCCTTTCTCTCCCAACAAATCATAGGATAAGATGAGGTGAGGTCAGGACCTATCTATATCTTATTCATTTTTGTATCCTCCATAATATGGAAACCAGTGTCTTGAACAGAATCACTCAATAAATGTTTTTTGAGTGAATAAATTAGATCCTAGAGTGGGAAATAATAGTGGGAAAGGAAAAGGAATACATCTGTGAGGTGGTTCCAGAGAAGAAATGACAGAACTTGGTGATAAATTGAATCTAGAAGATAAAGAATGGGAGAGAATACAAGATGTTTAAGCTAGAAAAATGGAAAAGTATAGTACTAAAGCTGGAATAAGGTTCTTGGGAAAGAGAATTTCATGGGGAAGTTGAGTTTAATTTGAAACATAATGGAAAAGTCTATTGGGTGACTGGATATATGGAACTAGAGGAAAAGTCAGCAAAACTGAAAACTCAAAGTAAGTCCATGAGTATGTACGAAAGTATAAAATGTCCACACTAACAAAACAAGAAAAAGAGATTTGAAACAATTCAGCCTCAGAAAAAGAAATTGAGTGAGCCATAAATGGATTGCCAAAGATGGAGGGAAGGAGCACTGGACCAGATAGATTTCAAAGTGAAAGCTATCGAATATTTAAAAAGCAATGAATACTTATGCTATACAAATTATTCTCCAAAATAGAAATAGAAGGTGCTCTGTCAGACTCCTTTTAGGGAGACACATATGGTCCTGAGAGTTGTCCAAAGCAGAGACAAACAAAGAAGAGAAGAAGAACTATAGGATAATCTCCCTAATGAATATTTATGCAATTTTTAAAAAATCCTCACAATCCTCATATACCACAATGTATGCAGAAAATAATTTACTATGACCAAGTACAGATACAAGAATAATTCAACATTAGGAAAACAATTAGCATAATTAATAATGTAAACAACAAAGATAACAAAAACCAAATGATTATTTCGATAGATGCACAAAAAGCCTTAGACCAAAAAAAAAAAAAAAGCTTGTATTTATGTTTTTTAAAAAAAATAAAAAATACAATCATGGAAGGGCCCTTCTTCAATATAATCAAAAACATACATTTAAGGCCATGAGCTGTTTGCAATGGAGAAACACTAGCAGCTTTTCCGATACAAATAGGGATAAAGCAAAGGTATTCCTAACCTCCCCAATTATTTGACATAATTCTAGAAATATTGTATCTCTAGCAGAAACACAATAAAATAAAATTCAAGATATAAACATTAGCAAAAAGAAGGCAAAATTATCTCTATTGACAGCTGACATGATGTACTTAGAAAACAGAGAATCAGCAAAGAAACTAATTGAGGTGATTGACAGCTTCAGCAAGGTAGCAGAATATAAAAGAAATCCACAGAAATCCTCAGTATTTCTGCATAGTACTAAGAAAATCCAGGAAAAGAAATAAGAAAAATTCCATTTAAAATAACTATAAAGTACATTAAATACCTGGCAATTCACCCATCAAGATATATGCAAGATTCATATAAATAAAACTACAAAACATTCTTTATAGAAATAAAAGAAGATTCACTGTTCATGTTTGGGACATGCTAATATAAGAATGAATGAGAATGCAACTTAAATTGATTTACAAATTTAGTTTTTTGCCAATCTAATTACTGAGGTGATACATTATAGAACTATACAAAATATTAACAAAGTTCATTTGGAAAAACTATAATCTCAAGGAGGAAATAATGAAAAAAAATACAAATGGGTGAAAGGGGTAATAGCATTGCCATACCTAATATTATTGTATAGCGGTTGTCATCAGAATTATTTGGTAGTCACTCAGTCAATAAACATTTATTAAGTGCGTACTACATGCCAGGCACTGTGCTAAATGCTGGGGATACAAATTAAAAAAAAGAAAAGAAAGAAAGAAAGAAAAACAGCCTCTGCTTTCAAGGAGATTACAGTCTAATGCGGAAAGGAGACAACATACAAAAGGAAGCTGAAAAGCTAGAGATGAGAGTCAGGAAAGGTACCCACACAGGAGGATGGAGAAGTCCCAAAGTAGTACAGGCAAGTGAGGAAGGAGGAGATCTGGGCTGAGCTCCCTCCTTAAATGGAGGTTTGGAGTTCCTGGTCTCACCCTCCATTCAGAGAGGCACAGGGTAGTGATGAAGTGGAGCACTAAGGCTGCTGGGATGTATTAAGATGAGAAGATTTTCATCATATTGATCTTCCTGTAGCTGTAGCTGTAGCTGTAGCAGGGGATGTCCCAGAGTAGTGCAGCCAGATGAGAAATGAGATGTTAAAAGCACAGATATAGCCAGTGAAACAGAGCAGATAAGCAAGAAACTGAAGTAATTGAAAATAGTGATCAACTGTTTGATAAATCCAAAAACGTAAATTATTGGTAAAGACTTGCTTTTTGACAAGAACTATTGGGGAAAACTAGAAAATAGTTTGACAGAAATAAAGTTCAGACAAATGTCGTATATTATGTAATAACAATAAATAATAATAATAGCTAGCATTTATTAAGCACTTGCTATCTGCCAAGCATTGTGCTAAACAATTTACAAATATTATCTCATTTTATCCTCACAACATCAGGACATAAATGTTATTATTTTCATTTTTTAGTTGAGGAAACTGAGGCAGAGGTTCAATGATTTTCCCAGGGTCATACAGTAAGTGTCAAAAGTGGAATTTGAATTCAGGTCTTCCTGACTCCCAGCCCACTGCTGTATCTACTGTACCACCTAGCTGTTTCTAGTGACCTAGGAACAAAGTGGGTAACTATTTCTTGAGGAATGGCACAAAACAAAAGCAAACAAACAAACAAAAAAAAACTCCTGTAGTGTATAAATTTAAAATTACTCATACGAGGAAGGGGAGAAAATAAGCATTTTTAAGTGCCCACAGGCACTGTGCTAAGCACTTTACAAGTATTATTTCAATTTGATCTACGGAATCAAGAGAAACATGTGAACTGATACAAAATAGTTACACTGCACACTGTGACAACAAACATGTAAATATAAATTTTTAAAAAACCACTAAAATGAAGTCAAACTTTGCACAATGAAAAAAAGCAAAGAAAGTCCTAGAGAACAGATAATGTAGCACCACCCCCCCCACTGCCCCTTACAGCAAAGAGACAGAGAACTACTAAAACAAAATATTGACAGAAGTCACTGTATCAGATATTTTTGCTTAATTTATTTTGTCATGAGAGAAAGGTAAATATTGAGGAGTCTCAAAATGACTATAATATCAAGATGAAATATTAAAAATAAAATTAAAGATAATGAGAAGTTGAAGCTACTAAAGAAGCTAGAACACTAATGCAATAGATAGAGCATTAGACCTGAGTTCACATCTGGCCTTTGACACTTTCTTTGTGACCCTGAGTGAGTCACTTAGCCTCTGCCTCAGTTTTCTCTTCTGTAATGGGGATGATAAAAGCACCTGCCTTCCAGGAGCATTGTAAGAATCAAATAAGATAATATTTATAGAATACTTTTTTTTTTGGTCAATTACTCATGTCTGATTCTTTGTAATGCCATTTGGGGTTTTCTTAGCAAAGATGCTGGAGTAGTTTGCCTTTTTCTTTTCCAGTTCATTGTCCAGACCAAATAGAGGCAAACGTGATTAAGTGACTTGCTCAGCTAATATGCGTCTGACGCTGGATTTGAACTCGGGTCCTCCTGACTCTAGGGCTGGCACTCTTTCCACTGCTCCACCTAGCTGCCCATAAAGTATTTTGCAAAACTTACAGCTCTATATAAATTCTAGCCCATCCCGTCACACACACACACAAAAAGGAAGATGTAGGGAAGGTGAGAAAAGATAAGATCTAGACCACCGTGAAAAGAATCAGCTTTGGAGAGGAAGAAAGTAACCTATTCTTCTTATCCTGGAAGTGAGCATTAAAATTTAAGTGTAAGAACAATGTTATGAAGACTGTGTACTAGACTGTGAGCAGAATGGATTAATTTGGAGTCACCCTGGGAATCAGTGTGGCATAGTACAAATAGCCCTTGGGATTTTAAGTCAGAGGACGCAAGTTCATACGCTGTCTCTGTCACTCATCTTGTGTGACCCTGGGCACTTAACCTGTCTTCAGTTTCCTCACCTGTTAAATGCAGGGAGGGATGGGGGAGGGTGGACTATTTGGCCTCTTGTGACTGCCAGCTCTAAAACTAAGGTCCTGCAATCCTTGCTGGAGAAGAGCTACTGTCTAATTGACACTTGAGGACAATGACTCTACCAGGGAATATCCATTGAACTTAGGAGTCCTTTCTCCTAGTTCCATGCCCAGGTTTCTATATGAAATGATGCATTCCCTAGTCATGGTACCTCACACTCCTGTGATACCTGCAGCTGGGGAGGCTGGTGCTGATGGATCTCCTGAGCTCAGGAATTCTAAGCTGCTAAAGTAGGGCTAACGTCTATTGGGTGTCCACATTAAGTCTGGCACCAAGTATAGTGAGGGAGTGGAGGAAGATCAGCGTGCCTGAAGAGGCACGAATCAGCCCAGGTCAGAAATTAAGCAGGTCAGAGCTCCCAAACCAATCAGCTTTGGAATTGGACCTGTGAGTGGCTGCTGAGCTTCTAGCCTAGCAGAGAAAAGGGAACCTAGTCTCAAAAATAATAACAATCATGAAAATAATAAATTGTGCACTTACTAATTTATACCATGTTTTTCCCCTTTGGATTTTCAGATGAGTCCTTGAAGCTACACAATGGACCTCCTCATAATGCCTATATGGAACAGAGCTTTCAGGGCCTGAACCCAGTCCTCAATATCCCTATCAACTTAGCCCATGTGGAGCAAGCCCGGAGGAATGCAGCCACCACTGGCCCAAAGTTGGAGAGCTGGGTGGACTCGTTAGTTGGAGGAGTCTGGTCTGCAGTGGATATCTGTGCCATTGGGCCCACCGCCTGCCCCGTAATGCAAACATGCAGCCAAACTTCCTGGAGTTCCTTGAGCTCAGACCCCAAGTCTGAGCTTGGGGCCATTAAACCCGATGGTCGGCTGAGGTAGCATCTGGTCGTGCTGTAGAATTTAAAAGGGAATTTTCACCCTGAGTACAGGGGATTCTGAAACCTCTCTCACCCCCAGCCCTCTACCAACCAGTAGTTCCCAGGTGGGAACTTTTATATTCACAATCAGTGTGAGGTCTAGAGTTTAAGAACTAAAGTTGGAGCCTGGCATTGTTCTCCCTGCCAATAAGCTCTGGAGATTGGTAGATTGCCCCACCCTGGTCCTAACATCTTACATTTTTTTTTCCTCATTTGCTTCTTTAAAGCTATTCTCCTTGGCCAGATATCTAGATAGACTTTGGATTCAGTCTTTTGTCTGATCCCAAAGGACTTGGGAATTTAAAGCAGCTGATAAAAATGTTCACTCCTCTGACAACCAAAAAGCCCGTATGGGTATTCATCAAATCCATCAGTATCACCCAGAATGCTTAGAGGGGAAAAAAAGCCCAAAGTGATTTCCCAGGGGTTGAGGGTTCTCTACCACCCATTTAATAGATGGGCTTTTTTTCTTTATAGCTCAGATGGGCAGGAAATGATACTTGCCATATTTATTTTACAATGATGGCCACACTTCCGTACAAGCAGAGCAGATACTTGGTGCATTCACAGGTGAAAATTTGAGGGTTTCAATCCTATTAGCTGTCTATGGCCATAGGCAGATGGATGTCAGAAGCTGGAACAATAGCAATGGTTCAAATAGTTACCTCATGCAGTCTCTCAGATATTTCAAGCGATACTTGCTTGAATCTCTGAAGAATGGGAATTTGACATGTGCAGCTTGTTTGAGATGAATGAGACACTGGACAGAATAAAGTCCCTTGACTAAAAATCAGAACAATGCCAGACACCTGCAAGGGTTCTTCCATTTTCAAGGCCAAACCTTGCCAGGTGCATGATCGGTGCTTATTATGTGTGACCAAATTGCATGACCTAAACTTTTTGACCCAGAATATTTTGAAAGTCCTTTTCCAACCAAGTTTTTAAAGATATCTGCTTTCTTACATGCAATGCCAAATGGAATACCTTACATAGATCGTGAAGGATAAGATTGGAGTTTGGATCTTCATTTATTTGGAGGTATTTTTTTTTAAGTTTCTAATTACTTGAGTTGCCAGAAAGGTCAAGATTTTCCTTCAGTTCAACAAAGTGAATGTCTGTGACAATCAAGGCAAGGAACTATCCCATCGAGTGGCCTTCCCATTCGGACTGGAGAGGAGTAAGCCATTAGGGTGACACCTCCATCATCCTCTACCACTCCCTGAGGGGAAATTCCCTTTTAAAAACTGCACACTTGGTTGCAAAAATGACCTAAACAGAGCACCCAGCCCTTGTTCTGTTTCTCTCCACAGTGTTGGTTTGAAGCTGCTGAAGTTTGCTTTGGACTTGAAATAGTGAGGTCAGCTGTGCTGATGTTATGTCAAGAGCATTAAATGTTGTATGGAGCCAGGGATGCAAACAAGGACGCATAGAAGGAACACTTTAGATATTTATTATTTATATGTTTTAGTCAATGACTAATTAGTAGGTGCTGTTTTTTGCAGCTTGACAATTATGTTATCTTACTAACTAAAGCTGCCTTTATTCACAAAAGGCTCCCCACTCTTTGTCAGCCCCATCCCACTCCCAAGACACATACTCTTCTTTTTTTGCTCAGTTTTCTCAATTTGTGACTGTTGCTGGCCTGAGGGTGTCAGGAACACTTGGTGTGTTTCCACCCATATTGTCAGCAGGAGACAGATTCATTCTCTCCCATATCAACAGTAGGCTGATGCCCTCGAAAATGTTCTCCTAGCCAGCCCCTAGTGAAAGCAGTAGGTCCTCCCAATCCAAGCCCACAGTGAAAGCAGTAGGTCCTCCCAATCCAAGCCCATAGGGCTCTGGACCTGAGTCCTCTGTACTCTGTGTCTTGTAGCTTCTCCCCAAAGCCAGGGAGGCGCCTAGAGACTGCAGCTCATCCATTCTGGACCTTTCTTTCCCTTTCAAACCTTGCATTATGGATCATTCTTATCTCCTGTCCATTTGCTGATGAATATCGTCCAGCAAATCTCACTTCTAGAGCCCAGATTTGAAGTGAGATGACAGGAAAATGGTGTAAGAAGGTTAGTTTATCCTATGTGTGAGGCTGACTGGACAAAATTGAATTGTTTATATGGAAATACTTCAGTGATTCCTTGGTCACTGAAACAAAGGGGCTTTCAGAAACCTTAGGGCTCAGTTTCACAGAAGTCCCATATTGCTTATGTATCAATACATAATCAATTGTGCAGGAGGTTAAAAACTTCAAAACCAAGATACTTTTCTACACACAGTTTCTCTGTGGAAATATGACAGCAAGGGCTTTACTGAACATTCTGGTTTTTAAAGCAGCAAAAATAACAAAATTTTTCTACAACCTTTCTTTCAATCAGCCCGCTCAGTATCTGTATACAATTGTAACAGTATTATTTGTGGTGACTTTTAGGCCTGAGCCTGATTGTATCAAAGTGGTTGATATCAGCCTACAATCACCCAGAAGTTGTACCTATTAAGTTCAATGACATTTCTGACTTTTAAAATCCTGGAATGAGTGGAGAAACCCCAGAGTTAGTTCTGGGACAGTCCAAGCTGTGAATTTCTTTTTCTAACTTAACTCCCCATACATCCTGCTGTAGGAAAGTAGGTTGGGATGTGGAACACCCATTGGGGTTTTTACATTTTGGGACCAGAGAATATATCTTTGTAGATGTTACATTTGGTAAAAAGGAGAATTCTAAATGAGAGCCCAATTGCACCAAGACTTCATGATAGCATTTTTCCAAATGAGAACATTCAGCCTGTTTCCTCACTCCTACTCAGAGACTGATTTGATTATTTTGAGAACCCTTTGGAAAAGCCACATTTCTTTGGGCACAAGGTTTTGTTTACTTTGGTATTGTTTGCCCTGGAATCTAAACTTTCAATGCAGAGCAGGGTGTCTGGGGTAATTACTGGTCATAACAAGGCTGAAGAGATGGTTTATCAAGTCAAAGAATAGGGTGGGGGTAGGGTTGAGGAGTGAAGGAATCTAAGCTTGCCTCCATACACACATATTGTTAGATGGCCCCTTGGACAAATTTTTACTAACCCTCTTAGTCCAGTTTAGACAGAAGGAAATCCCCAAGCAAGTTGTGCCTTCCACCCCTTGCTTCCTATTTTTGGACCTTTAATCCAGAATTCATCCCAGTGATCTGCAAGCATGTGGACAGAATAGCTCTAGTCACATCAAAGAGAAGGGAAATAACTCAGTGTGGTTTTTCAAATTGTAATGAGCCCTCCTCCAGGAAAGCACAGCCTTAATTGGCCAGAGAGGCTTTTATTTGAAACAGTAGATTGAGACTTGAGTGTGAACCATGGAATGTTAAAGCCAACATGCAAGATACAGGACACAAGGAAAGGAAGTGTGTAAAAGCAGCTCAGTGAGAGGAGGAGGCTCCACCCAAGTCCCACATTAGCACATACTTGTGAATTGTGAGCTAGTGCCCTTGGATACTGGCTTTATGATGCAAATGAGCCCTGTGGTTGTATGAAGGCTTTCATAAATCAGCCCAGGAGTGCCTGGCCAAGAACACCTACCAGAGGAACCAAAAAACAGTATTTGGGGATACCCACCCTTTCTCCCAGACTCTGTTCCTATGAAGGTCGAAACAAGTTGAAATAGAATTAGAATTAGATACTATTGCTTTAAGAACATTAAAAAAAATTTTTTTTAAACTTATTCCCTTTGAAGATATAACCAAGATTACAATTTTAGGTTTTTGTTTTTAGTCTGGACCTGAGGTTTTATTTGGTATAGGAAACTGAAAGTGGAAAAACTCCCTTTATCCCTTTATCTTCTGTACCTTATAGTCTTAAGGGAGTACAAAAGGTAGCAACTTACCCAGGGTCACTTTTCTAGTATGTATCAGAGCAGGGCTTGAACCCAGGTCCTCTTAACTCCAAGGCCAGCTCTCTATCCGCTATGGGACACTACCATCCCCAAATTCTGAATCTATTTTTCCTTTGGCTTCATGATACTGGGAAAGGGACAGATATGGTCCTCTAATAGCCACCCAAAGGTAACCAGCATTTATTCCCGGTGAACATTTGCAGCTATGCTGACTGGTGGAAGGCAGTATTCCATATGCGCTATCAAAGAGTTGTCAGTGTTGTCCAGAGCACCACTTGTGCTATTCTGGCTGCCCGTAAATCAGTCATGTATCCACATTCATAAGAATTTGCTGCTAAACAGAAAAGCCTCACAGATCACAGCATTTAAAAAAAAATAGCAAGTAGCAACAAAGAAAGGAAATATTAGGAAAGAAGCAAATAATGATTTTACCCCTCCTAGGACTTAGGAGACTTCTTGTACACATATACACACATGTAGATATGTGTATGTACATCTATTGTATACATGCATAGATATATGAATATGTATATATACTACCCATCTTAAACACACCATTGTGTTCATTCCAGTAGACAGTTTCTTCTAAAAAGAGAAAGGGGGAAAAAAAGATAGTTAACATCAGTTCCCATTCCAACTGCCAGTGTTGTTGCTTATTGTACTTCATGGCCTTGGTGGGAAATGATTCAAGATATACCCCCTCCCCAAATTATTCCCCTGAATGATTTGCTCCAGCCCATAAATTTGGAAAAAAAGATAAGGAGTTTACCTCTGTTGAGTGCTGGCTGAGAGGCAAGAGCATGGTGGATAAAGGACCTTCCTTGGAGCCATGAAGACCTGGTTTCAAATCCTCCCTCAGATACCACCTATCTGTGCCACTAAGAGCAAGTGACTTAACCTCTCAGTATTTCTCTCTAAAACTCTGAGTTGGTGGTCTGTACCAATGAAGGGATTTTCCATGCCAATGGTTTTTAATATGGATGAAATCACAGGTCCAGATTACACTATACCCTCATCTGCCACCACCTCCCCCCCCCACACACACACAAACACACACACACACACATACCAACCATACACTAAAGTCATTGGCTATCTTTTTGGAAATGGAGCCAATTACAATTATGAAAAACAACTGTTGAACAGCAGAGATTCCCAACCCCTGTCTCTTATCCACTTTTATTGTCCAGTTATGAGACAGAGAGTTCACAGGATTTGAACATCTTCAACCATCAGCAGCCATTGCTGCTATATATCCTACCTAGAATCCTCCAGCCCACTTGGCTGAGGATTTCTTGTCTCAAACAACTTTAAAATGAAAGAAAAGCGTCCAAAGTTACCAGGACAAAAAAGATAGGGTATTAGACAAACTCATAAAACTCCTCCAGCCCCAACAGCAGAGACTCCTGAAACAGGTTTTATCTAGCATAGACATTCCAATCTGTGGTGTCCACCTAGTGGCAAAAGTATTCAGGCCTTTTTTCACTTCTTGGCTTGCTACTGTCCAACAACAGCCAAGACAGTAGAAACTAGGGCTGCCCTCTTGTTCACACACAGCTGGCTAGTCTAGCTCAATCATCTGTTTTTTTGCTTCTGCCTCAGTTACCTTATTTTGCCCATGAGTTCTACCACAGGTGCTACCTCACAGTGTCTGCTAAGAAGTTTACCTGAGGGAGGGGGGAGAAAAAGATATCCGAAATCTCCTTGAGCTGAATGTACAATCTATGCAAATTCTCTCTGTTTCTCACTGTCAAACACTTCAAAGTATTACATATAACCTTGCCTAACTAACAGCAAGATCCTGTACAGGTTCCTCTGATGACAGAGTACCAATTTTCAGCGCGGTTAAATGCGCCCCAGTTTGTATATTGTTAACGAGTTGTCTTTGGTTCTGTTGTTGCAAAGCCCCTTGAGGGAGACTGGGCCTCTCTGTCTGCAATGAGTCCCTTCCTCTTGGCTGGGAATATTTGGATTGCTAATGTCTCCCCCATTCCATAGAGGTCTCTCTGCACCTGAAGAGCCCCTCTCCCCCTTCAAAAGGAAGGCCTATGGCCTCACTGACTCCAATCCCCTTCCCACTTCTTCAGAGCATATCATTTTCCATCTCACAACACAATAAAGCCTTAGGTTCCTCCTTTTTGAAATGTGGCCTTAAAATCATGTTGGAAATGTGGATGTTGTCTTACTCTTCAGATTTTCGCCAACATCACAGAAAGCACCTTGAGATTGCTGCTATCCCTCCTACTGGGGAACCCATCAATTTACAGTTTCACAGATATAATGGAAATTGCTTATAAATTCAGTCTTAAAGAAAAATGACCTTATATTGTTCCTGCGGGCAAAATAAAGGTTTGGATGCTCTTATAAACCATAGCATACTCTGGAAGTACTCTCTTACAGCATATTGTAGCTGTAACGGGTTGACTTAATTACCTAAAAAGTGCTAACATTGAGCTTTTCCTTTTTACCCCTTAAAAACATGGTAACTTTATGAACTTCACTCAAGGGTAAATCAGCATCTCTGTTGTTTATCCTTTTGCCCTTGTTGAGTATCATTGGCTTGAGAAAGATTGCACTAAATATTCCCAGCTGATCTTAGAGGTGCCACCCTCTCAATCCCTCTAGCCTCCAACCTCTTTTGTTTTGATTCCTCACCATCTGATCCAGCCCAAAGACAACAGAAAATAAGATTTTCATAGTAAACTCATTGGCTTTGAATGGAATAGTCTTTCTAGTTCTTCCTGTCTTTTTTGTTGTTGTTGTTGTTATTGTTGGTTTGTTGGGGTGTTTGTTAATGGCCTCATCATAAGTTATTACTGTCCCCTCATTTTTCAGAGACAGGTGGTGATATAGTTTTAAAAAATAACTATTTTGTTATAGATCATAATATGCATAAAACTGTACAGAAATATTTTGTAATCTATTGATTTTAAAAGAGAGAACATGTAAATATAGTAAAGTTAAATAATAAAAAAAAAAGAATTCCAATGGCACACATTGAAAGATGTAGATATTTTGCTATTTATTTAAAGGATTATTTTATGAGATACTAAACTATCTGAAATTGACCAGTAATCCAAGTTTCAAAAAATCCAAATGCTTTTTTCATGTTGTAGAATGTGATCTCCAGCAATCATTGCACTACCCATTTTTGCACCCTTCTGTCTTTCATTTAGCAGAACAACAACAAAAAAAAAATTGTGCCTTAGCTGTATTTTCTGTCTAGGGGAGTTTGTTTTTTGTCTGACAATGCGAGATTTTTTGCAGAAAACAGTGGATGTATTAAATACTGTATCATACCAAAAACACCACAGGTGTATATAAATGCTTTCTGTCATACTGTGTTTTCAGAAGCAGAATTTTAAAATTAAAAAAAAAAAGCTATCTTTGTGGAATGGTGTCAGTGTGACTTGTTTTCAGTGCTTTTCCAAAATTTTGAGCTATGATTTGGAGGACTGAGCCATCATTTCAGATTCCTCCCACTCAGATCTTTGGTTCAGGTACATGAATAATAAATCAATCAGCAAGCATTTACTAAGAGCCTAGTATGTGCCAGGCACTGGTGCTAGGTCTTGACGAGCTTGTGTTCCATCAAGGGAGACAACATGTATGTATATGAATGAGTATGAGTGTCCAATGGTGCTATCAAGCTAGGCAGGCCATCATTCATCCAATGAATGGATCTATTATATGGTACCCACATTTTACCTGATTACATCCTAAGTTCTTATTGGGTCAAGCCTCAGGAAAAGTTTGCCAAATAATATTCTCTTTCTTCCACAAATAATACTGTACACTCAATTAAATATGCAGCTGAGGCCCTGGTTTTCACTGACAAAATACAAATTTGGATTTTTAAAACCCTAACAATTTAAATATGCTTCCCTCTTGGGATTTTGTCCCTTCTCAGCAATCTCACTGCTACTTTTCAAGTAAGCAGAATTGGCACAAAATCAAATGGCCATCCAGATTTTAATATACTTAGACATCTGGAGAAAACAATTAAAATAATAAGGTTTGCCAAAATAGTAGTTTTAAAAGCAACCATAGTCTACTGCCAACAGTAAGGGTTGGAGGGGGGCAGAGTGGGGCACAGGAAAGATAGGGGAGTCAGAAGTAGCAAAGTTGACTCCCCCTCCATCCATTTCTCCATTAGGCAAAGCAAGGGAGTAACCAAGGTGGATGATAGATGAAAGGGTCTCTGTCCCCGAGGAAGACACAGAGGAAAAAGCCTAAACAGTCTCTCTAATAACCCTGATCCTGTAACTCAGATGGTCTTTGGTTAATTCTGGGATTCTGTCCCTGGTTCCTCAGTGGCTGCCTCTTTCACTGAGGAGCAGCCATGTTTGATTTGTATTCAGCTCAACCCATGGTAGTAGAGTTCATCACATTGACCCCAGTTGGGACACTGCTGTGATTCCAGCCTCCATCATTTTCCATCCATCTACCAGCTCACAGTCCTTGGTCATCTGTGCTTGCTTCTCTGAATCTTGTCACTTCCTTGGCTTCTCTCCATGGCCTTCTTTCAAAGTCAAGGTCAAAAATAGCTCTGCATAGTTTTCCCTAGCTTAAAGTCTGAAACCTCTGGGATTTCAGAAAACACTGAAAGAGGGGCCTGTTGGTAGCTCCACCCTTATCAACTCTTGTTTTATGTCCAAGCATTTGGGAGGAGCTCAGAAAGTTGGTGTATATGTGTGTGTGTGCAGAATAAATATAAGGTAAACGATAGTTAAATAAATAGTAGTTAGTATAGAAGGGACCTTAACAGTTGGAGGGATCAGGAAAGTCATCATAGAGAAAAGGGTATTGAGGTCTATCCTGAAGGAAGTTAGGGGTTCTACAAAGCAGAAATGAGGAAGGAGTTAATTACAGGCATGGAAGACAGTCAATACCAAAGCAAGAAGATATAATAGCAAAGTCATTCACTCCCCCCAAAAAACTGTTAAATTGTTTTAACATGTAATTAAGACAAAAAGTATTATTTTAAAAAAGAAGATAGGAGAAATAGTACCTTGTATGAAGAACAGGGAGAAATCCAGTTTGGCTGAACCACAAAATGAGGGAAAGGGAACCATATATAATCAGTCTAGAAAGATATTTTGGGTTACTGTTGTGAAGAGCCAGGGGGATTTACTGGGTACAGGAATGGTGTGGTCAGATCTGCACTTTTGGAAGACCTCTTTGACAGTTATATGGAGAATAAATGGAGTAAGGAGAGATGAGGCAGGGACAACATTTAGGAGGCTAATATGATAGTCCAAGTGAGAGGTATTAAAGATCTGAACCAATGTGGTGGCTATTTGAGTCGAGAGAAGGAATTAGCTGCAAGAGGTGCTGCAAAGGAAAATGATTGGATATGTGAAGTGAGGGAAATGGGAGCTGAAGATAATGCTGAGGTTACAAAGTAGAGAAACTAGAGGAATGGTGGTGCCTTTGACCAAATTAAGGAAGAGAGGTCTAGAAGGAAGACCTCACTAGAAGGGAGGTCTTAGGTAGGCAGGAAGCTGAGAGATTGTGAATTCTGCCTTGGATTTGTTGAATTTTGGACAAGGCATCTGGTTCATCAACAATAGGCTCTTTTTGGGGGACAATCTGTATTTTAGTAGTTGCTCCCCTATACCTTGGCCAGCATAGCCTTCTAGCTGAAAGACTGCAGAGAGACCGGAGGAGGAAGCACTGGTTGCTCTTTAACTCAGGAAATCTGGATTAAAATCCTAGCTCAGCTGCTAACCTATTATCGTAGACATAAAATAATAATGATAATTGGCATTTACATAACACTCTGAGGTTCAGGAAGTTCTTTACATACATTATCTCATTTTATCTTAATAACACGGAGAGGCAGAAACCAAGATGGCAGAGCACAGGCTGGAATCCAGCTAAATTCTCCCACCATTCCCTTCTAAACAACCTTAAAATAGCTCCTCAAATCAAAATTTGGAATGTCAGAGCCAACAGTCAGAGGGAGACATTTTTCAAGACTAAGGTCTTTAACTGCAATCTAGGAGCAGGCCAGCAGTGCTTTGACATCAGTAGCAGCAGTAGTGACAGGAGCTTCTGGAACCCTCATCCTAGAGATAATAAGGGGGGTCAGACAACTGGTCAGAAAGAGATTACAAGGAACCCTTTGCTTACATTGGCTACAGCTGGCACTAATTGGCAACTCTTTCCTATAAGCAGTTCTGGATCACAGTTCCAGAGTGGAAAGGAGCACTTGTGATTGGTCACAAGGGAGCAGGGGCACTAGTCACAGTTCCAGGGCCAAGAGGAGCACTAGTACTTGTGGAGGCAAGGGAACAGGAACCCTTCCTGGGTAAAGAAAGACAAGAGTATAGACCAGGAATGCAGTGAACACAACTCTCCCAGGATAACCCCACCTTGGAATCACCCAAAATTTGGAAATCTCCCAAACTAGCTCTGAAAACAGCAGCACAAAAAAAAGCCTGAAGCTTGGGACAGGCTTCCCCACTCCAAGGTGAACAGAGTCCAACTTTAACATGAAGTTCAAAGTGAAAAAATAGACTGGAAAAATGAGCAAACAACAACAACAACAACAACAACAAGAACTTGACTATAAAAGGCAGTGGCAGGGAAGACTAAGACGTAAACTTAGAATAAGACAACAATGCAAAAAGTTACAAATAAAGCCTCAAAGAAAAATGCTAATTGGACCCAAGGATAGCAAGAATTCCTGAAAGAGTTAAAGAGATGAGAGTGGTAGAGGAAAAATTAGGAAAAGAAATGAGAGTGGTGCAAAAAAATTGTGAAAAGGGAATTAACAGATTAGTAAAAGAAGCACACACACAAAAAAATACTGAAGAAAAGATCACGTTAAAAAAAAAGCAGATATAGCCTAAAGAGTCACAAAAATTCACTGAAGAAAAAAACTAGAGACAAATAATTTATGAATGAAATAGAGAGCAGAGTGAAATGTAAAATGGATAATTTTGATTACATTAAATTAAAAAGCTTCTGAACAAATAAAATAAATGTAGCCAAGATCAGAAGGAAAGTGGAAAATTGGGGAAATTTTTCTTATAGACAGTTTATCAGAAAAAGGTCTCAGATAAATAATATAAAGAAGTTTGTAAAATCTAGAAGAATATGAGTCATTCCCCAATTGATAAAAAGTCAAAGGATATGAACAGGCAGTTTTCTGATGAAGAAATCAAAATAATTTATAGTCATATGAAAAAATACAACAAATCATTATTGACTAAAGAAATGCAAATGAAAATAACCTTGAGATACTATTTTACATCTATCAGATTGGCTAAAATATTTGAAAGGAAAAGCAACAAATATTGGAGGGGTTGTGGAAAATTGGGACACTAATTCATTGTTGGTGGAATTGTGAGCTGATCCAACTATTTTGGAGAGCAATCTGGAATTATGCCCAAAGAGTCGCTAAACTGCTACACTCTTTGACTCAGCAATACATCTACTAAATCTATTTCCAAAGATGATTAGGGAAAAAGGAAAAGAACCTACACATTCTTAAATATTTATAGCAGCTCTCTTTGTTGTGTCAAAGAACTGGACATTACAGGAATACCCATCAATTGGGGAATGGCTGAACAAGTTGATATATGATTGTGATGGAATACTACTATGTTATAAGAAATGATGAGCTCAATGACCTTAGGAAAACATGGATAGACTTGCACAAAATAACGAAGAGCAAAATGAGCAGAACCAAGAGAACGTCACATACAGTAACAGAAATATTATTTCAAGAACAACTTTGACCAAATAAGTCATTTTGACTATTATAAACACCCAAATTAATTACAAAGGACATATGAAGGAAGACATTATATGCATCCAGAGAAAGAACTGATAAATAGAAGTGTGTATAGAATGATTTTGCATATATGTGCATATTTGTGTCTAATGGTAGCCATCTCTAGGGTGGGGTGGGGGGAGAAGACAAAAAGGGGGGGCAAAGAAAAAAATTTATGTGACAACTTTATTATATATTTAAAAGGAATAACGAGTTGTACATAATAGATTTGCAGTTTCATGTGCAGTCATCTTTTTTTAATTATACTATGTTATGGAAATGCTTGTTTTATTCCATAAATCTAAAAAAATTAACTTTTTAAAAGTAGAACGGGCAGCTAGGTGGCACAGTGTTGTACCTGGAGTCAGGAAGACTCATCTTTCTGAGTTCAAATCTAGCCTCAGATACTTACTAGCTGTGTGACCCTGAGCAAGTCACATAACCCTGTTTGTCTCATCTATATGATAAGGAAAAAATCAAAATGTACAAATGGAGTTGGTTTAATGTGAGAATTAGGAGAACCAATCATGAACACTGACTTTATCTTGGGCTGCCACATGTATTCTCCTCCATCTCCACCATTCATCCATGGGAAACTATATAAGCCATGTATTATTTCATACATGC